GCAAAAGAGAATGCTTCACTGAAGCCACGAGCTCACTCATCCACTTCCCCCTGCCTGGCACGGAAGCTCTGGCTGCGTGCAGACCCTGAGACGCCGAGAAATCCCGAGGAACAAAGGGCTCAAAGGAATCGATACTAGCGAGCTGCACTGAAAGGGGTCTACCCAACACCAAGAAGCAAACTTGACCTCTATACCAACTTGACCTCTGCCTTGATCAACTTGAATTGCATGACGTGTGGTGTACATCTACCTGGGTTGCATCATCTATCTCTCTCTCGCTGTGTGTGGTCGCACGGATTTTTGCTGATTGCTACCATATAGTCAGGCACCCAGGAACACTCCAACACTTTACCGATACAAAACCAGTTTTATATAAACCATTTCGAAACGATGAGGACCGCAGTGGCAGAAGTGTACCGCATTCATAAATATGCTTTGGCCTGCAGGCGAACATACTTGTTCGGGGGTGGAGGCATATTTAGCCAGTAGCGGAAGGCGAGTAAGCCTAAGAAAACACCTGACCCACATTTGCTTGAGCGCCCCTCAAGATCTGGCGCATTGCCCCAGTGCCGTGCAGTGCGGCACCCCATGCGCTGCACATTTGCGGGGCTTCCCGACGCGGCAGAACAAAGAGCCGCGAACGCACCGGCCCAGCGACTGATGCTGGCCACGGCACAGGCTGGGCACATGGCCTGGCACCGAGGAGCGTTCCTGGGCGGTGAATCTGTGTTTCCAGGGCACCAATCGTTTGCTTGAAAGGGGAAACCAAACAGCAGCCAGCCATTCTGCAAGTTCCCAACTCAAGACATATCCCTGAAATGGGATTCTGCTCGAAGGCTTCCGCGAACCTTGCAAAGGGGGGTAGGGAACCGACTCCAACCCACCCACCCACCCCCTCACGCGCCTCGCCGCCTGACTTGCGGCCAGACTTCCTTGGCCTCGGAAAGCCATCAGCCCAACAGTCCTCGAGCAGGTCTCTGACACAGGCTCCAAGGGACCCCAGCGAGCCTCGAAGGACCAGACGTCCCAAAAAGAAACCAGCGCCCCTTCTCTTCCCCACAGGGAGGAAGGCTAAGCCCACATGAAGAAAAACAGATTGATGAGGTTTAGCAATGGAAAATATTATATATGTACTCTATGCATATCGGTTCAATGTGCATTGTGATGCCATATTGAAATGATATTGTTGTTTCAAACGCAAGTATATACGCCTGTACAATCTGTTCGTTCTTGTTTTCAATATGGGCCTGTCCCCAAATCGGATACAGCAAAACAACATGCGCTTCAGATTCCCTCTCGATCCCCGAACATCAACGAATCCGCTTGGTTTCCCTTCACAACCACAACGGGGTTGCGGCAACCCCCCTGCACAAAAGTCGGGGCCACACCCCCGACCCGGAGCTCCAGTGTCCATGGAAAAAGCAAAAAAAAAGAGTCATTTTGATGGGACCCTCCGAAAAAGATAGGAAACACCGAGAAGCGTTGGCAGAACAGGGTCCGGGGCCAAAAACGAGAGCAACACCGCAACACCCACATCACTCCCCCAGCCAGTCGCGTTTTTCCGAGGTGCGGAGGATTTGCCGTCGCACCGGACCCTGCCTGGACCGGGAAGCAAGAGACTCCAAAGAAGTCACGTGTTAGGGATCTACTCTACGGATACCAAAAGGAAGCCAACCCATGCTGGAGGGTTGCCAATGTGAGTGGAAAATATCCCTTGAACATTGGAAAGATACCAGTTAAAACGCATCTTCTAAAAGCAGCATCATTGCAAGATCCATCATTTTGATTTCAACACTCACAGAGAATTCTACCCGCTAGCTCTGAGAATCCACACACTACGTCTCTGAACAAGATCTTCAACTACCCTCCCGTCAACAAGCCCGGAAGTGCACAGGCCGCTTTTCCCCTTTAAGTTGGGTGCATCTTAAAATGGGGGGACCCCCACCAGGGATGGTGGCTTTCCTTTTGGTTTCCGTTTAAACCACACAACAAAGGGCATCCAAAGGCACGCCCCTGTGTCTCTGCGTAGCTGAAACACCCAAGCCGAGCCTCGCAGCGCCAGATCATCCTGGGCACTGGCCAGGTCCGTTCGTGCCAGAAAATGGCCTGCTTTAAGATATGTCCAGTGGCTTGGTAAGACTAGGCTGGAATTAGGACCCCAGCAAAAAAATATCTTGTTTGCCTGGTTAGTGGAAAACAAAGGGACCCCCCCCAAAAAAAAAAAAGAACAAAAAGGGAAGCTAATTCTGGGGAAGAAATGTGGACAAGACCCAAAGTCCGACGCAGTCTTCAGTGGTGGGGCCATTTTTTGGGGGGCACCCTCTCGACAATCCAGAATGTTGCACATCCTGCTAGCTGATCGTCAATCTTCAAGCCAGGAGGTGCGAGCACGTGCTAGCCCAGTGTTGCCAACAACCTTCCACCCTTCAGCCCCTTGATCACTCTTCAACGAACCTACTTGAAACTTGCATTACAAATTGGGTCTCCTCATTACCAACCAACCACCACCCACGCACCCACCCACCCCACCACCCACCCAACCACCCACCCAACCAACCAACCAACCAACTCCCTTTTCTTTTGGGGTTTCCTGGCTTGCAACACTCCTGGCCAACCTTCCCTCCCATTCGCCACGGTGCGGGCGGGGCCCGGCTGCGTTGACCTCTCGATTTCCGGGCCGGTTTTTGTTGGTGGTTTGGACGCGAGACCTGTACCTTCCCTTGGCTTCAAAAGCAAAAAAGCACGACTCCGAACCACCAAGCGGGTGTGGCTCAAAGTTAAAGAACCCGGGTTACGCAGGTGTTAGTCCGTTCCATTTACCAAGGTGCCAAGGTGCCGTTTTGCTACCCCTTTTTTCAGCCACAGACAAGTAGCTCGGGGCAGAGAAACAGCTTCAAACCTCTGGGCCTACAAGACCCCGAAACTGATCTCGGGTGCGGTCTCAAACCAGCTCGGGGACTGTGACACTTGTGACCTCGAAGCCTCGTTAGTTACAGCTGGCCTCCATGAAGTCCAACCAGAGATCGGCCGAAAGAGCTTGGAAGATGCGGCACGGCAAAAGCCAAAAGAAACGTCCTCGCTTTGCAAAAGCCCAAGAAAGGCAAAAGGAGCTTTGCTTCGGGGCCCTTGTGATGCACCAACATGCCACTCGCCATCCTTGCAAAGGCAATCGCCATACTGTGACTACCATGCTGTTGAGCGTGCCATACTCGAGTTCAACTCAGGCCACATTCGAGTCAACTGATTCGAATTTTTGATGGGCCCTAGTTGCAGCCGCGCCACAAATGGAGCAACTAATCGCTGGGACCACGAAAGATGGTGCATATGCACGCTTCACGTCGCGGGCAATTAGGGGTGGCAAAATCGCCCCCAGAAAAAATCAACTGCTCAGCATGTTCACGTTGCGGGGTAGAACGGTGTTGGGTGAGAATGGTTTTGTAAGAGCAGAAAAGAGGGCATCAACGCTCTTTCCATCCGACTCATTCCCCAAATCCTTGAGGCAAACAACCAGAAAGCATGGTAACGAATGGGAAACTTGTTCCTCCCCGCTTGCAAGGCGTCTACTGTGGAAATTGGCGAGCTCCGTCCGCACGCGGAAGGCATCAACACTCACTACCCTTTTTCCGGCCTCGCTCTTTCGAGGAGATGCGGGTGAGCCTAGACCTGATCGGGCCAGCGGTGTTTAGTTGCTTGCCTTGAACTGCTTCCTTGGTTTGCACACTTGCTTTGCACACTTGCCTTGCACACTTGCTTTGCGTACTCGCTTTGATTTGCTGCTTTGCCCTGATGGCTCGCGCGCTTGCCTTGCTGTGCTCTGCTCTACCTTGACTCGTTTTGCTTGCCTGCTTGCTTGCCTGCTGGCTCGCTCGCTCTCTCGCTGGCTTGCTTGCTTGCTTGCTGGCTGGCTGGCTGGCTGGCTGGCTGGCTGGCTAGCTGACTGGCTGGCTTGCTTGCTTGCTGTCTTGCTTGCTTGGTACATGGTTTGCTTCCCGATCTTTGCACATGTGGTTTATTTGTCTGCCTGCCTGCCTGCCTGCCTAAGCGACTGTCCGTCTCTTTGTTTGTTTGACTCTTGTCACCTCAGAAGCTTGTGATGCCAATGGAGGATGGTCTGCTTGAGGCAAGAGGAAAGCAAGCTGAGAATTGCAGCTGCGTAGGAAGACCTTTTTGGCGACGATGTTTTGGATGGCAACCAAGAATCGATGACTTGGAGTTGTTCCCAGCTTTTGGCACATTCCGGCACAATGTCTGCGAATCAAGACTGTGTGCTGCAGGGGCCCTGCTCTTCAAACAAAAGCCAGCATTTGCGCCGTGCCAACGACATTCAACCCAGTTCGCTTTCGTTTGAACACCCCACCGGCCGGGATCGGTCGTCCAAAACGATTCATCTGTCAGCCTGCATGGACCACCTCTGCCCGAAACCTGAGATTCGGGATATGTATCGCGAGTGGACCCTAGACGTTGTTTCATCTCAAGAAAACCGACATGCAGCCAGGCAGTTATCTTGTTGCCTCGACTGGCAGAGACTTGCAAAATCCGGCAAGGCGTCCTAAGAGTGCCATGCCCCAAAGGACGCAGGTGAAAAATTGAGGGGTTTCTCACAACAGGGGACCCTTTGTGCATAAGTGTTTAAGGGGAAGCAAGCAGGACGCCAACCATTTCTAGGGGGCTGAATTTGAACAACACCCAACTGCGTCACCTTTGGCGGCCAATTCGTGTCGTGCAGTTCCCCGACAAGCAGTGCAATAAACCTGCAAGCCACTCGGACCTGACAGGAGTGTCATACCAAGCCTCCCCACACCCAGAGCGTTTTCACGGCCCTCGGGCGCAAATTTGGCCAAGCGGCGCGGCTGGGGTGTGTCCTCGGTCGCAAGCTGGGATGGTCGGTGCCGCCACGGGGAGTTGGCATGTGAAGTGGACATCTATCTAGCTATCTAGCGGTCGATCCATGTATCGATGGCTATCGATCTATCGAACTATCTATCGATCTATCGGTCTGCCTGACCTTAAGCAAGGTGGATGGATGAGTATGAAAGTTTCGCGCTTGAGGATTCTCTTCTTTTGGAACTTAGCGACCGCGAGAATGAGATACGCTTGTTAGCCATGGGGCCTGATGGTAAAAACGCCCGGATGGGGAGAACCCTGCTTGGACACAATGTAGTTTAGGGGCACGTCTTTCAAAAGTTGGCTCAGGTAGGGTTTCCGCGCTAGGACATGCACTGGGTAAAGTTAAGTCCCAGGTCTACTGTCTCAACACCTCTTTGAAAACTAGGGCCTCACAGGGTACATTCTGGTGTGTGAGGCTTTGAGGAGTTCTGGGTTTCGCCACGGTGCCGGAGTATTGACTTTGATGCCCTGAGCACATACGCCACAGCTGTGAAGCCCTTGCAAGGTGCCATATTCAAAATAGGAGGCTCACACGAAGCACCAGTCTCATCTACCGTATCCAATTTGAAACAATATGTTCCTATCCTCATCACCCTTTAGATTCTGAAGTCCGAACCTTGACTGCATCCGGCTGGCTAGGCAGCACCAGCTGAACATTGTAGCCAGCACTAAGACAAGTTATAGAATTAGCATAGATCGGTGCTCCACAAGCGACCTGAATTTTGGATCCGAGTGATCAAGCTGCCAAGTGACTACTTCGCTGCTCTCACACTTTCCGCAGTTCTTTTGGCTCTGAGCCAAGTAGTGGTCCTACTAACAACTAGAGACTGATGCAGGAGCAAATCTTAACTGTCTGCAAGCTAAACGACCGAAACCTTACCACCTAAGAGCTTTCAGTGCCTTTCCATGCCTGTCTTGCATGCTTGAGGAGATTGGCTTGGCAAAGGTCCTGTCACACAGTGTGCACTGATATGTCTGGCAAGTGTCCATATCCGGGTAACCGCTTCCATGAGTAAGCATGGGTCTCAAATATGCCCGTGTCTGTCCAAGACCACTCATGAAATCGTAAATTTGTTGATGACTATCCCTATGAACCAACAACTCATCGAGCCCATGGGCCTCCATCGGATCGGCCTGATTTGTTTGTTCGGATAGCTCAGGGGGGTATGTCTCTTAAAGGGCGGGAGGATGGGGATCGATCTGCCAAAGTGGATCCCTCCATCCGTCCAAGGGGCCTGCGAGTTCTGCCTTAGCTCGGCTCTTGCCACGGAAGGAGTGGGAGGGGCGTGCGTCTTTCTTTCTTCGCAGCTCACCGAGTCAGGGGCCTGGGATACAGTAGCCATCAACTGTTGAGGGAGGGTCCCCTATCTTGATTCCTGCTAACCTGAACAATCATGGAAACCCAAGTCAGGCGAGCCCATTCAAGTTCAGCTGCCCAAACAAATGCCCACGCGCACACACACACACCACGACTTGGGTTGGCTCATCTCGCTTGGGGGGAAACAACCCGGTTTCGAAGACTTTCGCAGGATGGTATTGGCTATCTATAATGTGGCCATCTCCACCTGGATATTGGATGAAATATATTCATCAAATTGAGAGGGGCTGCTTCTGGGTGGGAGACTAGAATGTAAATAATCTATAGTGGCAAGGCTGTGCGTGTGTGTATGTGAAAACTTGCTAGCAAGGTGTGACTCCCCCAACCGCTGTGTCCAAATCGCCTCGTCGATTTCCTCATTCAGTCCCAAAGTATGCTTTAGCCCGCGTTCATCCCTTGATCCTTGATCACTTGCAGCCAACCCCAGAGAAAAAGAGCCATAATGCTAGTCTTCTTCCATTATTCCGCAAGTCTCTAAGAAAAACATGTTAAGGCGATGCAGGGATGCTAGCGGACCAACCAATTGCCATCTCTAAAGAACAAATTGGATGGCACATACACACAAAAGATTGTATGGCCATGGAAAAGCGTCCAGGCATCGACCCCTCCCGTGTCCAACCCGTATCTCTCTTCGCGAAAAGGTTTGCCTCAAAGGCCAACACGATGGCGCAGCTGCTCATCCTATCCAAAAGGAACACCAAACCCTGAACCACACCCCAACCTCAACAACCATCCAACTCATCCAACCCGCAGACCTCCCCATCCCAAACACCACAACCCCCCCCCCCTTCCCGTTTTCATCAGGAAAAGGCGCGGCCTCTCCGGCGAAGGCGGCGCTCGCCTCGGCGAAGCTTCGGCGCGGGCGCGGGCGTCCAGAGATGCCATCATGGGGAAGAAGCCGATGCCACCGGCCGCCAGCTCCTCGCCAAGGAGTTGGTTCCAAAAACGCGTCGATAAGCTTGCACCTAAGTCAAAATCAAACCCGATGTTCATCATGTAATCCCAGAACCATGCAAAGAATTAGGAAGACGACGATAGGCTATGTATGGCTGGGATTGTCCCTTACTAACCTTCATCTACCCGAGTTTTAATTGTGGCTCACCTGGAAACCAAGGGAAAGATGGGATGGACGGCTTGAGGGGGTTGCAAAACAGGGTCGCACCAGAACTCGCTGTGAAGCGGGGTGCCCACACTATGAGAGGCTCATGCAATGGGAAATTCCCAACTTGAGTTCAAACCAGGACCCGCACAGGCAAGTGTGTGGGAAAGAGAGAGGGAGAGGGATAGAAAGAGAGATTGATGGGCATATATCTATCCGTGTATGACAAATGCGTGTATATATATATATATACATAGATAGATATATCTAACACCTCACAAACGAAGGTTGGTTGACCAGCTTCACCTGGCGCAGTCCAACTCTGGCATCAAATGAGGCGGAAGTCGCCTGGGGGTTGGAGACCAATTCGCCACACGAGTGCCGCATTCTGGCGCAGTTGGAACCCTGCGGCCAATCTGCAGCTTTCGGGGACTTTGCACACGGATCTGGGGATTGGTGAGTCAGCGGAGACTGCGGGCGGTCGAAAAAATGTTACCACCCAGGACGGTCAAGGACGGAGATCATTCTTTGGTTTTCCCCTCTTGTTGTTTGTTTTCTTGAAAGGAAACAAGTGAGGGGGAAGAGAGATTGCGGAGATTGTAGGGCGGGTGTTTGAGACGCAGCCCATCAGTGGATCCCGCATGACAACAATGATGCCCGTTGCGTGTCGTATGCGCTATTGGTGCAACATGGAACCCAAGCCCAGCTTGCAAACGCAGTGCACGTGTGTGTGTGTGTGTGTGTGTGTGTGTGTGTGTGTGTGTGTGTGTGTGTGTGTGTGGTTGTGTGTTTGTGTTTGTGTGTTTGTGTTTGTGTGTGTTTGTGTGTGTTTGTGTTTGTTTGTGTGTTTGTGTTTGTTTGTGTTTGTTTGTGTGTGTTTGTGTGTTTGTGTTTGTGTGTTTGTGTGTTTGTGTGTTTGTGTGTTTGTGTGTTTGTGTGTTTGTGTGTTTGTGTGTTTGTGTGTTTGTGTGTTTGTGTGTTTGTGTGTTTGTGTGTTTGTGTGTTTGTGTGTTTGTGTGTTTATGTGTTTGTGTGTTTGTGTGTTTGTGTGTTTGCGTGTTTGCGTGCTTGCGTGATTGTGTGTGTGTGTTTGTGTGTGTTTGTGTGTGTTTGTGTGTGTTTGTGTGTGTGTTTGTGTGTGTTTGTGTGTGTTTGTGTGTGTTTGTGTGTTTGTGTGTGTGTGTGTTTGTGTGTGTGTGTGTTTGTGTGTGTGTGTGTGTTTGTGTGTGTTGTGTGTGTGTGTGTGTGTGTTGTGTTTGTGTGATTGTGTGGTTGTGTGTGTGTGGTTGCGTGTTTGTTTGTGTGTGTGTGTGTGTGTGTGTGTGTGTGTGTGTGTGTGTGTGTGTGTGTGTGTGTGTGTGTGTGTGTGTGTGTGTGTGTGTGTGTGTGTGTGTGTGTGTGTGTGTGTGTGTGTGTGCGTGTCTCAAAATGGCGAACCCCTTGACGGTTTTGAAGCGCCAGAAAAATACGTGTGTGTGTGTGTGTGTGTGTGTGTGTGTGTGTGTGTGTGTGTGTGTGTGTGTGTGTGTGTGTGTGTGTGTGTGTGTGTGTGTGTGTGTGTGTGTGTGTGTGTGTGTGTGTGTGTGTGTGTGTGTGTGTGTGTGTGTGTGTGTGTGCGTGTCTCAAAATGGCGAACCCCTTGACGGTTTTGAAGCGCCAGAAAAATACGAACCACCCGAAAAGGACTTTGCCCTCATTTTGAGACTAGTACTTCCCCTCTCACCGATGGTCCACCAACACCCTGCCCAGCCCCAACCGAGTGCCTCAGGCGACGGCACATCCAAAGAGCCGGAGCCGCCTGACCAGTGCCGACCGATGGAAAGCTGCCCTCAAACATTACCCTTTACTTCTAGGGAACCGCCCAAAAGTATTCTTGAGAACCCTTGAAATGTTGACTTTAAAGGACCCGGCCTTTTCTTCTGCGATTCGAGAGGCACAATCGTCCTTCGCAAGCGGGGCCGCTCGCAAACACACACACAAAAAAAAAGAAGAAAAAAAACACAAACTCACAAACACGCAAACCACAAACTCACTCGCACACGCGCACGCGCACGCGCACGCGCACGCACACGCACACGCACACGCACACGCACACGCACACGCACACGCACACGCACACGCACACGCACACGCACACGAACACGCACACGCACACGCACGCACAAACAAACAAACAAACAAACAAACAAAACAAACAAACAGGCACAAACAAACAAACAAAAACAAGCAAACAAACAAACAAACAAACAAGCAAACAAACAAACAAACAAACAAACGCACGCACGCACGCACGCACGCAAGCACGCAAGCACGCGCACACACACACACTGACACAAACAGACACACACAAAAAGGAAAAAACCACTCACAAACACCCAAACCACAGACACACTCGCACATGTAATCTCTTCCCCCTATTAATAAATACGCCCCCCCCCCTATTATAAATAAGTCCCCTCAAAAATGTATATTTTTAATTGGGGTTTTTGGGGTTGGTTTTTTTTGCTTTTCCAACATTGTGAGGGTTCACATAGGATTTGGAGGAAATGGATTGAATTGTAAGGTCCGCGAGTAAGCGGTTTAATAAGGAAATTTGATGTATCATTCTATTTGTTTTTCAGTTTACTGGTTGTTTGTTTGCAGCCAGGCAGGTTAAGCCAGCTTTTGGGGAAGCCAGCTTTTGGGGAAGCCAGCTTTTGGGGAAGCAACCTTTTAGGGAATTCATCTTTTGAGGAAAATGGGAAATCAATTGTGCGGAGTGGAAATCTGGTCCCGGGCCCCGGATTTCCATTTTTTTATTAGTGGGGGTCATTCATTAATAGGGGGAGCGGATTACACGCTCGCAAGCGCGCGCACGCACGCAAGCACGCACGCACGCACGCACGCACAAACAAACAAACAAACACATACACAAACACAGGCACAAAAACACACCTGGCATGTAATGAGTCTCCATAGAAATCCTGAGTATGCAAGTGAAATGGGGGGGTAAGGAAAGAGGAACTTTAGCTTGAATGCAGCTTTGCGAAGGAGGAAACATGACTCCCATGGCTCTTGGAAGAGCCCGAGAGTTGAATGCACCCCCCAGAATCCTGCAAAGGTGGACCGGACCTAGTTCCGTGAAGTCAAGCCGTGACGGGGAGCAGGTATGTCTGGCTGATCAGGCCAGCCGTCAGGTGGGTGATCTTTGCTGATGAATCACGCGCAATTCCGCACCAGTGTCGCGTCTACACATGTCCTACGGACCCCTGTTTCTTGCGCGAGGGTTGCACACACCCACACACACACACACACACACTCTGCTTCTTTCTAAGTCACATCTGGAGAAGCACAGGTAGCGGTTGAAGAAGTAAACCTCAGTTCCTAGCGAGTTCCTGGCGAGAGGTGGAAAACTGCTGTCCTCAGCGGGTCAGATTTCCAACGTTTTTGAGGCAAAGCAACAGAGGTAGTTCATGGCGGGAGTGACCATATATACATATATGTGTATATATATATGGTACCCCCCCCCCCATGGACCCTGGTTTGGTGCGGTTGACCTGCATTTTCCAGTGTTTTATGCTTCTTTTTGCTTCTTGGATTTGTGTCAAAATTGGGGGGAGGGTCGAACATGTATATGATACGCATGCATGCATACTGATGTGATAAAAGCAATGACATCAACACCTGCAATCTGAAAGAGTTTGAATGCATCCAAGAATACAAGAACAACTCAGACATTTTTAAAAATTATTAAAAATTCTGGGATTCAAGATTCAAGATTCAAGAATGTGAGAAAATATTTTCTGGGAATCTTGAATCTTGAATCTTGAATCCCAGAATTTTTAAAAATTATTAAAAATTCTAGATTCAAGATTCAAGATTCAAGAATCTGAGAAAATATTTTCTGGGAATCTTGAATCTTGAATCTTGAATCCCATAATTTTTAAAAAGTTTAAAAAATTCCAGGGTTGTCCCAATACTCTCGGTGTTCAATAAGATTCTCGGAAAAGTTTTCCGTGAAATAGTTCAATCCAGTGGTAACGGATGTTCGAGGTGATAGAACAACTTGAACATTTTAGGGGTTGACCAGGATGGATGATTCTCAGGAAAGTGGTGGTTTGTGGGCTCCTCAATATTGATCCCCAATCCAGTGGTAAAGCACTTTCAAGTGTTAGAAGAACTTGAATGCTATTTGGGTTTGGCCAGGATTGACAATTCTCAGGAAAGTGTTCTGTGTAATCTTCAACATTGAATCTTCCATCCGATAGTAGCAAATTTTCAAGTGCTTAGCGATCCAGTGGACACACTTTCAAGTTATTGGTTAGACAAACTTTCAAGTGCTTTTGGTGAGCTTCATGTCAGCTATGCTCATGTTGACCCCTTTCCAGGAGGTACACAAAGGCAGGTGCAACGCTCAAAAATACTGCATTTTCCAGTATTTTATGAGGAGGCGCAGGATCATTGGGGGTACCAAATATGTGTGTATGTATGTGTATATATAGATATACATATGTATGTACGTTCACACACCGTCCCCCACCCTCTTCAACTACCTGTCCACATTTGCTCATCTACTACCTCCACCTTTTGACATAGAATTAACTTTCCTGCGCAAATAGAACTTTAAATACAACGGTTTAGCTAGAATCCCTGTTTCGAGATAGTTTTACATTTTGAACCTCTCTTCCCTTGAAATTTCCCTTTGGAACACCGTCTAACAAGTTCAATGTCGGACCTTTCTTATGCTACAAAAGGGACAGAATGTAAACAACACAAATCCTATTTTTAATTTCCAAATGTTTAGCCATATTTAATATGAATTATATTTGAGATGTAGTCTCTATTCACTTGATATTATCAAAAGCAAATTGAGTTGTGTTCGTCTTAGATTTTACTTACCACTTGGATTATATTTGGGAAACAACTTCCATCTAACTTCTTGTGTTACAGATTAGTTGGAGTTTAGCCGAATATATATATATATATATATATACATTTTCATGTAGCTGCTATTTGGAAAGGATTTGCTTGTTTAAGCTGTAATTGAACATAAACACGTTTTTGAAAACTATATCCATACTAAACTATATTCAACATTCCAATTCTAGTTGAAGTAACATCTTATGTGCAAAGAGTATCATACTGGGACTCGGGGCTCCAAATTATCACGCTTTGGGGACCCACAATTGGAAATTTCGAGAATATAAATTTGGAAATTCTAGATTTGCCATCCCCAAAAGGCAGTAAAACCAGGGTCCATGGGGGGGGGGTTGCATATATATATATATATATACTAGGGTGAACCCGGCCCTGCGCCCTCCTGCCCCCTCGCAGTCTAACCCAGGATGTCTTGAGAACATTCAAGGCGAGCACACGCGCGGCCAGGTGCAAAAGGCAGAAACGTGCGTAGTGTTGTTGATGACAACGGCGCTTCTCGCCGCCGTAGAAGGGTTGTCAATTTTGACGCAGGCTAATTTTCTGACAATGGGTGGGGATGGTAAGCACACGCGTGCCATGCATCCATGCATTGCTTAATTCTTGCTGCGCTCACCTGGCTCGCAGGTTCGGTTATCATGCTGTGTGTCTGCGCGTGGCTTCCCTGTGTTTGTCTCTCGTTTTGCTTCTGCGCGTTGCCGGGGTCTCGCCACCGAACCGTTCGTCCATCCAGCTTTCCGCCTGGCACACTTGCCCCATTTATCTTGATCAGCACATTGACGTGCTTTCTGCGTTTTGGCATTCGTCATCGCAGCATCTGTGGATCCCTTCCGCTCTCCCATTGACTTCTCCGCTTTGCGTGAGTTTCATTCTGATCTGTGGCTGTCTTGGGCCTCCTACGTTGCTCGTGTCCGTACGATGAGGTGTGTTTCTTTTCAGGGCAAGGCCTTGTTTTGACTAAAATAATCCTTTTTGAGGGGCCCGAAATGCTGCTTTAACAAAAAAAGTCTCTTCACAATCGACAACCCTTCCACGGCGGCGAGAAGCGCTGGCGCCTGTTGTTGACAATGTTCCGGGTTCGATTACAAAAGGAGGTGTTGCGCCTTCCAAACTCGAGTTTTCGCTGTCATTTGACGGCATGAAAGTTCTGTGCTTTTGACAGTCTTGGTTGGCTAAAGTGGTCGATACCTGTCACCACGCGTGAGTCAAGGAAACGCTGCAAGACAGGAGCTCGAGGAAGAAGGAAGCTGGAGCAAGTGCAGCGGCAGGAATCGAACCTGCGGACCTGGGCCGAAAAACCAAAAAGCAGTCGTCCCAGCTGGATGTCAGAACTCTACTCCGGGAAGAAAGCCCACTGTTAGCCTACGTGTCCCGGATCGAGTAGAGTTTTGACCTCACAGAGGCCAGGAATCTCAAAACTCTACTCGACTCAAGGCTGCGTAGATGACAGTAACGGGCCCGGTCCCGAATCGAGTAGAGTTTTGACCTCTCGCTGGGAAGGCTCTTTTAGTGGAAGGCGATGACAGCACAGAACATGCAGGGAAGGTACAGAGAAAGGCACGAAAATGTGTGTATATATATATATATGTTTTTTTCCAGGCCGTGAACCCCCCCCCCCCTTCCCCCCCAACCCCCCCCCCCCCCCTGTAGGGGTGGGGTGGGGTGGTTTGGTGGTGGGGTGGTTGGGTGGTTGGGGTGTGGTTTGGAGTTGGTTTAGACTTGGTGGGTTGGTTTAGGGTTGGTTCAGGGTTGGTTTGCTGGGAGGCTTGGGGTTAGTTTGGTTTAGGGTAGGATAGAGGTGCTGGGGTGTTGGTTCACGGGGTGAAAGGGAGTCTGCAGGCCTCACACGGTACTGGACAGCATCCCCAGCATTGCCAGCATCATCCCCAAGATGCAGATACCGGGGGGTTGGGGCCACGTAGGTGGCCCCAACCCCCCCCCTCCCCCCCGGGATACCATTGAATGGGGGGGGGTAGGAGGGCGGAGGACGGGACCATATAAATATATATATATATATATCGTCTGTTCTCTTGGAAGGATCCAACATATTTTCTACATTCGTTCAGCCTGGCCAAAACCCCTCCCTCCGCCCAGCAAGCCTCGGATGATCTTGGGCGTGCGGCAGATCTGCGGCGCAATCTTCTGCGAGCGGCGAGGGGCGGTGCCTGGGACGGTGGGAACAGCGGCAGAGATGACTTGCTGGTGCGATAGGTAGGGAATGTGGGAGTGAACCCAGGGATTCCTTAAAGGAAACCACCAGTTGGATAGTTTATAGGGGTCATTCCAATTCTCATTCCCCGCCTATGATAGATAGGCAGCAGCAAGATGAAAGGCCGAATGGGAACAAATCCTTCCTAGTTGTAGGAAAGACTTTCTCATCTATGGATCAGAATTCCACCCAAAATGAACAAGTCCCCGTTCAAAAGGGATACGTGGGGAGGGGGACCTAACCCAATCCCCACTAAAATAGACTAAAATGAGTGGTGCACCTACCCCAAAATGGGATCCCATTGGTTTTGACCCACACCTGCCCCTGAAGAATCAATGCGCTCAGTGCGGGCCAGCCACACAGCCAGGGCCGCTCATAGCGCCGCCCACCTCGACACAAGGTCAAACCGGCCTTCGACTCCAACGAAGCAAGCCGAAAGCCAAACGCACCTCGGCTTCTGGCAAAAGGAGACTCCTTTCCCTAGGTGTCCTTTTAGGGGAAATAGATGGCCCTGGTGGATGATGAAACCACCAGGTAAACCAGGGCCATCTATTTTTCTACCAAAACAACCAAAAAGGACACCTATGCTCCTTTCATGGGGCACCCCCTCTCACTTCCTGAGTGTGGTGGTGGTCGAAAAAGTATTCTTCTTTTTGCTGCCACTGACCATGGTCTTCTCTGAAACGGTCTTCCAGGCACTCCCTGAGTGAGCGCTTTCTGGTTCAACCAGTGGCGAGCGAACCAGGTTGATAGATCCTGAGCCATCTTGCATTGAAGATTAGCGCCTTATCAGCGCAACTGGACTACCTGGGTGCCTCCAGAGATACCCCCCACCCACCCAAACAATTCTCGTAAAACAACACATGCAAATGATATAACAACAGAACCGGGCAGGTTCCCTGAGCTTTCCACAGACAGAATCGACATTGCACATAAACCAAGATGCGCAACAAATAACACAAGCATCTACCATAACAAGTCGTCTTGCAAACACCACGCGCACCCAAAAAAAAAACGCCCGCAATTTCTGTCTGCCGCAGCCACGCCAACCACCCCCCTCCCTCCCTCCCTCTCCGGCCTGGCGGGGATGAGCTCCTGGATCTGAATGATTGCAGCTGAAGGTTGATGATAGCCCCCCGAAAAGGGAAGTCCAAAGGGAAGTCCAAAGGGAAGTTTAGAGATAGAATTGGAATTAGAGGGAAGTCTAAAGCACCCCCGAAAAGGGGGGAGGAATCCGTGACGTGTGTGGCCAGGGACCCCTGTGGCTAGGGAGTCAACAGCGAAGCAAAGTGAAAACCAACCGTTTTGGCGACTTATGGGGTGTTTTGTCTGAAATTGGGGATCACCTTTCGGGTGGTGATTGGAAGGAAACTGAAAGAACACCACCCAACCGAGCATTTGGGCCCCTCTGGCAAACACCCAAAGCGCACACTCCTTGGTGCTTAGGTGAAACAGACCAGAAACAACTAGGATTCCAGGGACCGTTGAGCGGCGCACAGAGTGGCCGTGACTCTCATGCCAGCCGGTGCAAGGTCCGATGCCACGCTCTCGCGCAGGGTTCCACCAAGCCGAACCGAGGGACAGCTGAGCCAGGGGGTTCAAGGAAGCCCACCTTACCCCCAAAATCCGGTTGGTTCCTTCCTTTGAGCTTCCCGGAGCTCGGTCCGCTCGTTTGAGACAAATCCAAAGGAGAGCAGGGATTAGATGGGAATCTGAGTGTTGCTTCCCACTGGCAACGCTACGTATGCTGTTCAACAGCTTACATGGAACGGAGAATTCCCGGCTCTCGTCGCATCTCCTCGGCGAGCGCATCGAGGGCAGACCGCGCGCTCAAAGGCAGCGCTTCCCCCGGGAGATTCAAAGGCGATGCGATGGGCTTTCCCCGTGCTCGCGCGGCTAAGAGGCGTGCCCGAGCTTGCCCCCTCCGCAGCTCGAAAGATCCTTGCCCGCTCCTAAGAAAACAGATGCTTGAACCTGAAGATGTATTTTCCTCTCTGTTGTGTAAACGCTTGTAGGGAGTGGCTAGAACAAGTTAGCGCGAAGTTGCCACCCGCGAGATGCAGCGAGCCCCCCTGAATCGCTGCTGTTCAACGTTAGCCTGGAGCCACCAGCGAAGAAAGCGTGAAGCTGGGAAGTCAGCGCTTCCCAGGCTGGAAATTCTGCCAGCAACTCACTTTGAGAAGGGGACAGGTGACAGCTAGGGAAGTCCACTCTCACAACCCCCACCCACTTGGTGTTTTGGGGAACCCCTGCCCACCCACCCCAACCCGATGAGCTAGGATTTTGGAGATCGGATCCTGGCTACAAGACTCCGAACAGCTGGGGTTGAGAAGCCATTGTCGTCCGGGATTGCCGTACTCTCAAAAAGATCCTGCGAGCTACACCGGGCCTTACCGGTAACAACCAGAACTGCAACCTCTGTTCTCAGAGAGTGTTGGTCAATGGATGAAGTCTGGGTGAATTGAAGGTGCTCCAAGAAAGGGAAAATCATCATGCGTTATTGAAAACCCCAGACTAGGTGATGCTATGAATTTGCCCAGAATCTGTAGTATGAGCTCCAGCCCCCGCCCCATCCAATCCACTCAGTTGTGATTCTTACGTCCTTTCTCAGACACATGGGCTTGGACCTTCGTCCGTTGTGCCCTGACTGCAGCGCACCTCCCTTCAGATTTCCCTCTAGCCACAAGCCTGCTTTCAGTTACCACCTCGGCAGCAAAAAACCCTCCACTCAGAACTTTGCGGGAAGTGGCTGGCTTCCCACTTGAGAACTGCTTCCAGCTACCACCTTGGCATGGGGAAAGCCTGTGGTTTCCTCTACGGTCCGTAGCTTCTCAGTTGTTCAGTGACCCTGGAAAAAAAGGAAACCCTTTTTTGGGGAAGACCATTTTTAGTGGGTTGCAGCCACCCAAACAAAAGGAAAAAGAATTGGTGCCACTGAAGAACTGCGGCTTAAATCCTTGAGAACTGCGATATTGACTCCCTGTCGCCAACGACTGAGCTCCAAACTCTCCCCACTCGGCAGGCTCGCCACGGCCTTCTTCAAGACCTGCGATGGGAAAGTCCGGGCACTTCGAAGAATTCGGGGGCTTCGGGGAGCGTGGCCTGTTGAACAACTGGTGTCAACCCCCGGCGTCAACCTCATAAAATAGAGGTGATTCCCCAAAGAGTGGAGTTCTCAGAAGGGACACCCTTTGATCAACCAGACCTTTCTTCATCCCAGAAACCCCATTAACGGACCAACCACTTTGACGCTTACCTGCGCGGTCGCCCCAAATGGACGACGTCTTTCGGTGCCCGGGCTGATCGTATGGATGCACACCTGGTGGGTTGTCAAACATATGGGCCCCTTTTTGCACCCCGTTTAAAAGCTGGCGCCACATAAACCATGGCACGAAAAGGGTACCCATTTTTGACAACCTCCCACCTGGCCCCTCACCTCCTTGATGATCTTCCGCCAAAAAACAAGCCTGTGTGCAACGTAGGATCATGTGAACAGCATGTTGACCTTTGGAAACGACGAAATTTGACGAGGCAAGCACACGCCAGTTGACCTGGCTGTTGATGACAAGCATGAATGTCAAGCCAACTGTTTGAGCAGCCAAGAGCCATAGATGATTGGCTCCGCCAACATGCGAGAGTCGTTGAGCCCAGTACTTGACACTAAAATGGTCAACGTGCGGGTTTGGGCGCCCAACTTTTCAGCTCCCAGTGAACACTCCCTGAGAGCCTCTCGGGCAAAGTGTGAGCACAGGAGGCTCATGTTTGGTTCCTGTCCACCTCCCAATCTCTCCGCCTTCCACCAAAAGATCAAAAACAAAACCCAACCAATCTCTCCGCCTTCCACCAAAAGATCAAAAACAAACCCAACCAAATCTCTCCGCCTTCCACCAAAAGATCAAAAACAAAACCCAACCAATCTCTCCGCCTTCCACCAAAAGATCAAAAACAAACCCAACCAATCTCTCCGCCTTCCACCAAAAGTTCGAAAACAAAACCCAACCAATCTCTCCGCCTTCCACCAAAAGTTCGAAAACAAAACCCAACCAATCTCTCCGCCTTCCACCAAAAGATCAAAAACAAAACCCAACCAATCTCTCCTCCTTCCACCAAAAGATCAAAAACAAAACCCAACCAATCTCTCCGCCTTCCACCAAAAGTTCGAAAACAAAACCCAACCAATCTCTCCACCTTCCACCAAAAGATCAAAACAAAACCCAACCAATCTCTCCTTCCACCAAAAGATCAAAAACACAACCCAACCAGTCTCTCCGCCTTCCACCAAAAGATCAAAACAAAACCCAACCAATCTCTCCGCCTTCCACCAAAAGATCAAAAACAAAACCCAACCAATCTCTCCGCCTTCCACCAAAAGATCAAAACAAAACCCAAGCAAATCTCTCCGCCTTCCACCAAAGATCAAAAACAAAACCCAACCAGTCTCTCCGCCTTCCACCAAAAGATCAAAAACAAAACCCAACCAAATCTCTCCGCCTTCCGCCAACAGATCAAAAACAAAACCCAACCAGTCTCTCCGCCTTCCACCAAAAGTTCGAAAACAAAACCCAACCAATCTCTCCGCCTTCCACCAAAAGATCAAAAACAAAACCCAACCAATCTCTCCGCCTTCCACCAAAAGATCAAAAACAAAACCCAACCAATCTCTCCGCCTTCCACCAAAAGATCAAAAACAAAACCCAACCAAATCTCTCCGCCTTCCACCAAAGATCAAAAACAAACCCAACCAAATCTCTCCGCCTTCCACCAAAGATCAAAAACAAACCCAACCAATCTCTCCGCATTCCACCAACAGATCAAAAACAAAACCCAACCAATCTCTCCGCCTTCCACCAAAAGATCAAAAACAAAACCCAACCAATCTCTGCGCCTTCCACCAAAAGATCAAAAACAAAACCCAACCAATCTCTCCGCCTTCCACCAAAAGATCAAAAACAAAACCCAACCAGTCTCTCCGCCTTCCACCAAAAGCTCAAACACAAAACCCAACCAATCTCTCCGCCTTCCACCAAAAGCTCAAACACAAAACCCAACCAATCTCTCCGCCTTCCACCAAAAGATCAAAAACAAAACCCAACCAATCTCTCCGCCTTCCACCAAAAGATCAAAACAAAACCCAAGCAAATCTCTCCGCCTTCCACCAAAAGATCAAAAACAAAACCCAACCAGTCTCTCCGCCTTCCACCAAAAGATCAAAAACAAAACCCAACCAGTCTCTCCGCCTTCCGCCAAAAGATCAAAAACAAAACCCAACCAATCTCTCCGCCTTCCACCAAAAGATCAAAAACAAAACCCAACCAAATCTCTCCGCCTTCCACCAAAAGATCAAAAACAAAACCCAACCAATCTCTCCGCCTTCCACCAAAAGATCAAACACAAAACCCAACCAATCTCTCCGCCTTCCACCAAAAGATCAAAAACAAAACCCAACCAATCTCTCCGCCTTCCACCCAAAGTTCAAACACAAAACCCAACCAATCTCTCCGCCTTCCACCAAAAGATCAAAAACAAAACCCAACCAGTCTCTCCGCCTTCCACCAACAGATCAAAAACAAAACCCAACCAATCTCTCCGCCTTCCACCAAAGATCAAAAACAAAACCCAACCAATCTCTCCGCCTTCCACCAAAAGATCAAAAACAAAACCCAACCAATCTCTCCGCCTTCCACCAAAAGATCAAAAACAAACCCAACCAGTCTCTCCGCCTTCCACCAAAAGATCAAAAACAAAACCCAACCAATCTCTCCGCCTTCCACCAAAAGATCAAAAACAAAACCCAACCAATCTCTCCGCCTTCCACCAAAAGATCAAAAACAAAACCCAACCAATCTCTCCGCCTTCCACCAAAAGATCAAAAACAAAACCCAACCAGTCTCTCCGCCTTCCACCAAAAGATCAAAAACAAAACCCAACCAATCTCTCCGCCTTCCGCCAACAGATCAAAAACAAAACCTAACCAATCTCTCCGCCTTCCACCAAAAGATCAAAAACAAAACCCAACCAATCTCTCCGCCTTCCACCAAAAGATCAAAAACAAAACCCAACCAATCTCTCCGCCTTCCACCAAAAGATCAAAAACAAAACCCAACCAATCTCTCCGCCTTCCACCAAAAGAAAAAACAAAACCCAACCAATCTCTCCCGCCTTCCGCCAACAGATCAAAAACAAAACCTAACCAATCTCTCCGCCTTCCACCAAAAGATCAAAAACAAAACCCAACCAATCTCTCCGCCTTCCACCAAAAGATCAAAAACAAAACCCAACCAATCTCTCCGCCTTCCACCAAAAGATCAAAAACAAAACCCCCCGAATCCTCCCACCGCGCCATCCTCGCCTTGGCGGCGATGGCGCTGTCCCTCTGCACCGCCGAAAGCGCCTGGCCAGCCGCTCAGTGGTCCAATCGATCCCTTGGGACTGTGCAACCACATGGCTGTGGTGGTCAAAAATAGGGTAACCCCAAAATGAATCCCTGGTAAATGGACTAAAATGAAACCCTGGTAAAATGAGAAACCCTGGTAAAGGGAACCAAGGACTAAAACCTGTGGTCCAATTCCTGGTGGTTTCATTTTGACCCATACCCACACGCCTCTTACTCGCTCGCAGGAATCAGAAATCTGCGGAACCCAACCTCGTTTTTTTGCGTGAAAGCTGACAACCAAAAGCAAGAATGCATGCTCCCTCCCACGCGACTCTGACGGGTTGGTTCTATAGAATCTCACCCAGAGGCATGCTCTGGGATACGGGCACTGCATCTAAGGTCAAGGCCGTGTTGCGTGACAGACAGGGCTTTGAAAGAAACACGAGAACTCCACGCCATGACGTTTTGTGGAGATACTGAATATGGGATACGTCCCATACACAGCTACCGCCTGCGAACCTGCGAACCATCGAAACCTGCTGGTGGCACCCCACAATGGGGAGCAGGTCTCTGATGTTC